TTATCAATATTTTTCATTCATAAAGTGTTTTTCATTCGTTTTATCGTAAAAAGTAAAATTTTGCATGTATTATTTTCAAATAACATGTACGAGTGAGTCGACTCGCCCCACCCCGTACCCACGCAGGTATTACCTGCCCCGACCCGTAGTAACGTGGGATGTGACATGAATATTGAGGTACCGCCCCACCTCCGCCATTGCCATCAATACTTAGCCATAAATTTGCCTTAACTTTACTACAATTGCTTTGACTTATTTAATGAAATTACATATATGTATCTCTTCATTTTAATGTCTAATAAAAAACCAAGCAAGTCTAATCTCTGCTCTGCGACTCTCCTCCTTGTTGTCGTAACCTATTCCTTCACCAATCCTCGTCATCAAAACCAGTCCACTATCGAGCCAATGTCGAACTATTCTTATGCTTATTGATTTACTCTCTGTTCAAGGTACCAAAGTCGCTATACTGTCTATTGATGATTCAAGCTAAAACAGAAGTGAGTAACGAGAAAGACACCGATGTACGTGGTATCCCTGGATGATCCAGGACTAATCCACGGTGAAGCGTCAAAGCTTCACTGCTACTGATTTTACTGATTTGCAATTGATGGAAACTGATGATCGTCGCATCAGCCCTTACAACTCATAAATACTGCCGAACCCTAGAGACTAGGTCATCACCTCACGTCACTCCTAGCTCGTATGGGCTGCATGGGCCTGTTCACGTATTGGGCTTCGTACACTACATTTATACATACACACTACATACGTAATTATATAAACTAACATCCTCCCCCAAATTGATGCGTGTCTGACAGCATCAATTTGCTAGATAGGAACCAATGCCGACTGGTGGAGAAAGTCTTCGTGAGCAAATCAGCAACTTGATCTTCTGTACGTATGTAGTGGACAGTAATTGTTCCATCTCGAACCATATCCCGAACGTAGTGTACATGAATCTCTATGTGCTTTGTACGGTCATGCAACACCGGATTTACTGCAATACGAATGGCGCTTTTGTTGTCCACCATTAACTTCATAGGTAACGGGCATTTAACCCCAAGATCGGCCAACAGTCTTCGTACCCAAACCAATTCAGAAGTGACATCAGACATTGCACGGTATTCAGCTTCTGTAGAAGACTTTGACACCTTATCCTGCTTCTTACACCGCCAAGAAACATATGAGTCGCCAAACTGAACACACCATCCTGTGGTTGATCGTCTAGTATCTATGCAACCTGCATAGTCTGAATCAGAAAAGGCTCGCAGCTTAGTATCACCTGTGGATGGGAATAGAATCCCGACTTCACGCGTCCCTTGCAAGTATCGGAGAATTCGATGTACTGCAGCCAAATGATCTACACAAGGATTAGTCATAAACTGACTGACCAGCTGAACAGCATATGATATATCAGGACAGGTGGCTGACAAATAGATTAAGCTTCCAACAATGCTCCGATACTGCGATCCATCCTTCAGCTTCTCTCCCGACTCTCGATGTAGCTTAAGATTCGCCTCCATTGGTGTAGAAACCGGCTTGCAATCTTCAAAACCATGATCACCCAACAGATCGGCTATGTACTTCCTTTGACTTAGTAGTATACCCTTTGAATTTCGATACACCTCTAGTCCAAGAAAATAGGATAGCTTCCCCAGATCCTTTATGCTGAACGAAGCTTGGAGACCATCTTTTAGTTTCTGAATTCCCTCTACATCGGAGCCTGTAATCACCATATCATCCACATATAACAACAAGATCACAATACCTCTGGAGGAAGACTTGGTGAACAATGAAGGATCGTTCAGACTCTGTTGATATCCAAAACCAAACAATGTAGTCTGGAACTTTTCGAACCATGCTCTCGGAGCCTGTTTTAAACCGTATAGGGAGCGATTCAGACGACACACTTGACCTAACAAAGAATGTCATACATTATTCGCAGAACAAGAAAACACAGATGACGAACTACGGAAGGAACTACCAACGACTGACGATACTGGTTGCCCATGTAATTCTTCCAAATGAAACAAACGTCCTTTCTTACTCCCCCTTCCGATCGGCCTCCCCGTCGTCATGTCCTGTACAATACATCCAGACGGAGCAAACATCACAGTATAACCTTGCTCAGTTAGTTGCCCCACAGAAACCAAATTCGGAACTAGTTTAGGAACATGAAGAGCATTCTGCAATTTAACATTATTATCAACAACATTTCCTACGCTAGGTACGTTCAGTTTATCTCCATTGGCTATGGTTAACCTCAAGTCATGCACAGGACGGGTTTTTTGCAGGAGCTTAGAATCTTTAGTCATATGATTGTAGCAAGCAGAATCAAGTAGCCAAGGAGAGGATTTACCAGTATTCTGCATTGTCGCAAATGCAGCACTTATATCGGAAGAGACCGCTGCAACGCCTCATTTACCATCTGTTCGACTGAATTTTGCGTGAGAGGAATTCCCCCAACTCCGACCGGCATATGCTGCTGTATTGGGTGACTACCGCATCCCTCTTGTGCACTACGCCAGCTGTTAACCTCAGTTGGGAAAGCTCCATAGGCTGATCGACTTCCTCCATGGCCTGAGGATTCACCAGGACCCGATCGTACAGCAGGAGGTCCATATTTAGCCTCATTCTTTTCCCGAGTTCGGCACTCTAAAATTATGTGCCCAATCCGCTTACAGTACACGCAAAAATTCCGTCGTTTGCAGTGTTTTTGTAAATGCCCCTTCTCTCGGCAATGATGACAAAGGAGTTCGGACGTTGGGAGCCTCCTTTGAAATTGAGGGCGGTCCACTGCCAATGCAAGTTGTCCCGAGAAAGATCCCCGTGACGTGTTTCCTGCCGCAACAAACGTCTCTCCTTCACCTGGCCGAATGTCAATTTGTGCCTGGGTTCGGAGACGCGTCTCCTCTCGGACCAAGGTGCCCAGCACTCCGTCGAACTTCAGGTCCTCTTTATTCAGCAACGTTGATCGGACGGTCTCGAACTCCGGGCGGAGTCTCATCAGGAACTGAAGAAGGCGGGTGCGCTGTCTCTCTTCCAGCGCATCAATGGTGACAGCAGCATTGGGACGAAGGGCAGCTTGTAGCAGATCTTCCTCTGTCCAGTATTCTTGTGCCTGATTAAAGTATTCAGTGACTGATTTGTCTCCTTGTTCCAGGCGAGTAAGTCACAATTGAATTTCAAACAACCGAGCAACGCTGACGGTGGAGTATGTGGAAGACAAGTGCCGCCACATTCGATTGGCAGTTGGAAACAATCTCAAGCTAAGACAGGTTGAAGGATCCACCGAGTCTAGCAACCAAGATTTGATACGTGCGTCATTCTGATTCCAGGTGGCGATTTCTTGAGCTGTGGACGTTGCTGCAGGAGGTCTCGGTACAGTCCCGTCGAGAATTCCAAGGAGTCCCCGACCTTCGACGAACACGCGAAATTGGAACTCCCACAAGGCATAATTGACTGATGTAAGACGAACAGAAGGTCTCTCGGATTCGGTGTGTGTAAGCTCTGATACCATATTGATGATTCAAGCTGAAACAGAAGTGAGTAACGAGAAAGACACCGATGTATGTGGTATCCCTGGATGATCCAGGACTAATCCACGGTGAAGCGTCAAAGCTTCACTGCTACTGATTTTACTGATTTGCAATTGATGGAAACTGATGATCGTCGCATCAGCCCTTTCAACTCATAAATACTGCCGAACCCTAGAGACTAGGTCATCACCTCACGTCACTCCTAGCTCGTATGGGCTGCATGGGCCTGTTCAAGTATTGGGCTTCGTACACTACATTTATACATACACACTACATACGTAATTATATAAACTAACAGGACCATGGTTGACAGAATATAAGATGAATGGAGTTCGGTTGTTTAAGCTTCCTTTCAGTTAAATCGAGTTTACTAGCAGCTAACTCGGACACATCAGCTTAGTCACACTCACCAGCGGTATCAATAACCCACAATGTCAAAACTAAAATGCCGATGTATTGCTACAATACAATTAATTAGTGTGTTTAAGTTAGGGGTGTGATTCGGTCGATAAACAATTTACCGTTTACCGAATTTACCGGTTTCGGTATATCGAAGTTGGCCAAACTGGTTACCGATTACCGATACCAGTTTGTAACCGCTTTACCGATTACCGAATTATCGGTAAACGGTTACAAACCGGTATTACCGAAATACCGTGAGAAGCGATTTCAGGCGGTTTTTCGTTCGGTTTACCGAATATTTACCGAACTGTATTTCTGGAAGTGGGGTGATGTTGTAATATTTTAATTTTTTTGAGTTTTTTCATCATTTTTGTAATTAATAATTTATTATTAACTCTTATTTACAATATTTTTGAGGCCTATACTTACATTCATGTATGTAATATTTTATATTTTTGGTGGTAAAGCAACAAAACGCAGCGTAGCACTAGAGAGTAGGGAGGGGGGATTCGGTATCGGTAATACCGATTTACCGTCGGTATTTACCGATACCGTGTTCGGTAAACCGACTCCCCCAACTTCCCGCTCGACTGCCGATACCGCCGATAAACGGTAAACCGTTTATCGGATTACCGTACCGTTTATCGGATTACCGTTTACCACCCCTAGTTTAAGTCTTCATTGCCGCTTAGCATTGCTCGATAGGTTGTTTTGATAGTTTGATATACTTCACCGTTGCTTGTTAAAGTGTAAGTAAGAACAGAGTTATATATACGAGAAAACAATCGAGGGAAAAACATCTTCGCCAATTCCACACAATGGCTGCATCTTCTTTCTTTTCTCTTATTCTATAACCTAGCTGAGATTTGCTAGGTTTACTTTCTTCTCAAGTTTTGCCGAACCGCATGTCCCAGACTCCCATAGGAACAATCCCCATAGATTGGCGATTAGATGCACGCTCAGCCGTGAGCGCGTGAAGCTCAGATTGGAAAGTATCATCCATAAAATCCGCAGCCAGCTAGGCGCTATAAATGCGTGTGATCATCCCATCCCGTGTTCAATTCTCACTTTACATTTACAATTTAGTAATTTACACAACAGAACGGCTTCCAGTTCCAGGCGTCACTCAGTCTCAGTCCCGCTACACACGAAACCTCTTAGATTCTAGTCCCCACACCGGCAGTCGTTGGCGGAGCTTTTCGGTGTCTTCACTCTTCTTCAAATCACCGCCGGAGGAAAAGCGACGGCGAAAAATAAGTAAAGAAAAATATGGCGAAAGGAACGACGACGATTGATGTTGGAGCGGATGGAGTTGCTATCATCACCATCATCAATCCTCCCGTCAATTCCCTCTCCTTCGACGGTAATACTTCCGCCTCCACTTTGATCCAGATCTCACCGTTTTGCCGTACGCTGGCCTTTCCATTTCCATTTCCAGTCTCCGTTCTCCGTCGGTTTAGCTGCTTAGTTTCGTTTCGCGCGCGGAGATTCCGTCCTGCTACACTGTTAGAATGTTGTTTCCGATTAATCATGCGAAGCCTTTCCTTCTTCATTTGCGAATTTGTTTGCAGAACTTTTGAACTCTGTTTGGTTCGTGAGATAATCGATGCATAAGATAAGAATTTATGTTCGAAGATTTCGGTCTTGAGGGATATGGAAAATTTGAATTGAACTTCTGAAGTGATTGGAGTAGGAACTTTGCTTGTATTGATCACTGCTGTCAGAATTTATCTGTCGACTATAGTCTATAGTCGAGGATATATGTAGAAATGGCAATTGTCACGCCAATTTAGTGAATCGTGGAACTTATTATTCTCTGTTCTGTTTGCAGTGTTGTACAGCTTGAAAGAGAGTTATGATCAGGCATTGCACAGAGATGATGTGAAGGCAATTGTCGTTACTGGTAACTTATGTTGCTTGGAAGTGGTGACTTAGAATCTAATTGATGACGATTTTGGCGTGAAGCTGATGTACCTGGTAAATTGGATAGGTGCGAAGGGGAAGTTCTCTGGTGGATTTGATATTAGTGCTTTTGGCGGAGTTCAAACTGGAAAGGGTATGCTTTTTGGTTCTGTGCACATGATATATACTCTGAATGAGTCGGAAAAAAACTGAAATGCGGTTGTCTTTTCCTGTTTTCTCAGTGGATCAACCAAAACCTGGTTACATATCAGTGGATGTTCTTACCGATACAGTTGAAGGTATTGATGGTTTCCCCATCGTCTTTTCCAATTTCAAATTAGATATTGTGTAGTAGGCACTGGACCTAGAATTGTCAGCTAGTTGACTGGCATATGTTCTACCTCAGCTGCAAGGAAACCTTCTGTCGCTGCAATTGATGGCCTTGCCCTGGGGGGTGGATTGGAGGTTGCAATGGTAAGACCCTTAGTATTTGGGCTGAGCTCACTGTATGTTACTTGAAATCGAATAATCGCTGACATTTGCTATCACAGGCTTGCCATGCTCGGCTCTCAACCCCCACTGCACAATTGGGCTTGCCTGAACTTCAACTTGGAATTATTCCTGGATTTGGAGGTACGTCATGGGTGTTGTTATGCTGAGCTTGATTGGTGGTTTGCATTTTCAATCATGCTGAATCTTCTTTCTTTGTCTCCAATCTTGCAATTCTGTTGGATCAGGAACACAGAGACTTCCACGCCTTGTTGGGATCTCTAAGGCCCTTGAAATGATGCTGGTATGTGTCTTTATAGTAGATATTTCATAGGTTCTAGTAAGTTTTAAGTGGGTTCCGTCAGACGACTATAGACCTTATGTCTTTTCCCTTTGCATATGATGTGGCAATAGACATCAAAACCAGTGAAAGGAACTGAAGCTCATGATTTAGGCCTTGTGGATAGTCTAGTTTCTCCTACTGAGTTGGTTACCTCTGCGCGCCGCTGGGCCCTAGACATGGTGGAGGGCAGGAGACCATGGGTTGCTAGCCTATACAAGACTGATAAATTAGACTCATTTGGAGAGGCAAGGGAGATCTTCAAATTTGGAAGAGCACAAGTGCGCAGACAGGCTCCCAACCTTCAGCATCCTTTAGTTTGCATTGATGTTGTCGAAGCAGGCATAATTTCTGGTCCTAGGGCTGGTTTGTGGAAGGTGATAAACATGTTTTGTCTTCTGTTGTACTTCTCTTCTAATTACAACAAATATGTAACTCCTCACAATGTTACTGATGTTCGCAGGAGTTTGAATCTTTCCAAGAACTCGTGCGTTCTGACACCTGCAAGAGCCTGGTTCACATCTTCTTTGCTCAGCGTGGAACAACTAAGGTTGGTCTCATTGAGCGTCCTTGAAGTTGCTCTGCAATTTATACAAGATTGCTTGTAAACTTAGCCTTAATAATCCCCTTTAATCATTCCGATCCTCCATTGATGTGGAACAGGTCCCTGGAGTCACAGACCTAGGATTGAAGCCCAGACGAGTTAATAAGGTTGCCGTTCTTGGTGGTGGACTGATGGGTTCTGGAATAGCTACTGCATTAGTCCTAAGTAATTATCCGGTTATCTTAAAAGAAATCAACGAGAAGTTCTTGCAGGCTGGGCTGGATAGAGTCAAAGGTGAGGCTCATCTAACCTAATATTTAATCTTGAATTTGTTAATGAAGTTTTGATTGTTGAACGAACGTTTCTGCCTTTTTAGCCAATTTGCAAAGCCGAGTGAAGAAAGGAAAAATGACTCAGGAAAACTTTGAGAAAACTTTCTCTCTTCTTAAGGGTGCTCTTGATTATGAAAGCTTTAGGGATGTGGACATGGTCATAGAGGTACTTGAATACACATGTTAATAAAGATTGAACAGTAGCAGTAGATACTACTCTCCTGAGATAGACTTCATAGCCTTGACCATGGTGCTTGTATCAGGCTGTTATTGAAAACGTCTCATTGAAGCAACAAATCTTTGCGGACCTCGAGAAGTACTGCCCACCACATTGCATACTTGCAAGTAATACTTCCACGATCGACTTGAACTTGGTAGGCAGCAAGACAAGGTCTCATGATAGGATTATTGGAGCCCATTTCTTTAGGTAACTCTTTTTTTGTGTGTGGTTTCATCGCTGTGGCAGCCGTTTGATTTAGGGATCTTCACTAATTGTTTTTTTTGCTTATTCAGTCCGGCTCATATCATGCCACTCCTGGAAATTGTTCGCACCAACAAGACTTCCCCTCAAGTAATTGTCGATCTACTAGATGTCGGCAAAAAGATAAGGAAGACTCCAGTTGTTGTTGGGAACTGTACTGGGTTTGCAGTCAACAGGATGTTCTTCCCTTACACACAAGCTGCTCTTTTACTTGTGGAGCACGGAACTGATCTTTATCTCATCGATAAAGCTATCACCAAATTCGGAATGCCAATGGGCCCTTTCCGGTATGTAGAGCATCATGCATGTATGAGTATAGTCACTTACCTTTTATTGAGAATTTCCAGGGAGCGGATTCTGATGCCTCATTTGAAAGTGCAGATTAGTTGACTTGGTAGGTTTTGGTGTGGGAGTTGCCACCGCCATGCAGTTTATTGAGAATTTCCCGGAGCGAACCTACAAGTCTATGGTTATTCCTCTAATGCAAGAGGATAAGAGAGCAGGTACATTTTCTTTTTCTCTTCTCATTGTTACCCGATTCCCAAGCGGCCAAGCCTCATTACAAAATCTTGACTGTCTTCCTATGTGATTAACCTAGGCGAAACTACTCGCAAAGGATTCTACCTATATGATGACAAACGCAAAGCACGTCCAGATCCTGAGGTGAAGAAATATATCGAGAAGGCACGTAGTATATCTGGCATTACAGTGGATCCTAAGGTACGTCATAGGTGGCATGACTTCCTCTTTCTCTAACGTTAATTGTTATACAATCATATACTTCCTCTGTTTGCTCATTTCTTTCTGACTCAACGCTTATAACAGCTAGCTAAATTATCGGAGAAGGACATAGTAGAAATGACATTCTTCCCAGTGGTCAACGAGGCCTGCAGAGTTTTCGCCGAAGGCATTGCAGTCAAAGCTGCGGACCTCGACATTTCATCGGTCATGGGAATGGGCTTCCCTCCTTACAGGTCTGCAATACCTACACCGTTCCCATGATCTCAACTTTGTTTGATCAAACCTTGTGTTATTGTCATCAGGGGAGGCATTATGTTCTGGGCGGATTCACTTGGATCCAAGTACATCTACACGCGGTTGGAGGAATGGTCCAGGACATTCGGCGGCTTCTTCAAGCCCTGTGCTTTCTTGGCTGAGCGAGCTGCTGCTGGTGCTCCTCTGGTAAGCTACCATCTATCAAGCTGCTTCTGTTTGTTGCTTCTGCTAACGTTTAGTTTGCATACACTACCATTTGTAACGCGCTCCCTGTCGTTTGCAGAGCTCTCCGGTGGAGCAAGCGAAATCGCGAATGTAGGACTCACATGTGGGAAAATGTTCCAAAGAAAGGATCATTTCTTTGATCTTGTGTTGTCAGCAGAATAATATCTTGATGACAGAGAACCGGGGAGAAAGAAACATTGTTTAAGGAACGAGAACTTGTAGAACAATGCTCCATTTTAGAATAGTAAAAAACTCTAAATTTGGATGTGATTTTACGGCATCTATTTCCAATAGATGTTATTCTGGCTTAAATTATGAACTATCCCCGAGTCTGAGCAACGTTTTTCTCTTTTGAGTGTAAGAGATTAAAAAGTTAACAAAACTTTTTCCAAAATTTAAATTATTGGATCCGGTGGTTATTTTGTTAATATGATATCATAGTCTTGAAAAGGTCATGATTTTGAATTCTCATGATAATTGCCAATTTAATGCCATTTGTGGGGGAAATGTAACAGCTACGATGTAACAAATTTTAATATTTTTCAAACTGATCTAAGAGGCTATGACTAATCAATTAGGCTCGTCATTGGGTAATTATACCCTCTCAAAATTTTAGTTTATCAGAGGAGTAGTTAGAGTGTAATAAGAGGTTGCCATGGCACCCCTTAGATTTGGAAAAAGAACAAAATATTAGTAGTATTAGTTAGTTAATGATTATATTTAAATCCTAAATTTCAATGTCAATCGTCAAATTTCTATCGTTAAATCACAACAAACTAATAAATTAATTTCATCTACAAATTTCTGCATGAAAATTAGTTTCTATCAATGTATTTGCTTGTGAAAATAGATTTGATTTGCTACTATCATTTGTCAATGCACACGTTGATAACATTTTATGTTATTAAACGATTGATCAGCCTTCGCATCTAGTGAACTAAAGTAGTGAATGGTTATTCGGTGGGATATATTAAGTGTGAAATTTTGATAATTTGGCTGATTCATATAGTTATAGAATAATTTCACAATATAAAACTTAAGACCGCATATATAATTTTTTATGGCACCCCCTAAATAAAATTCTGGCTACGCCACTGTAGTTTATTATCTTAAACTTGCATGGTGAACTGAGGACACGTTGCTAAGTGGCCCAAGGACTTAGCTGACAAGCAACCAGACGGGCCCAGCTGCATCACTAGCGTGACTTCTGACTTCTGACTTCTGAGCCATGTACGTAGTAGCGGGAAGGCCCTACTAGCCTACTACAGTGTTTTACAAGAATGCTGTTGTTATCAATTGATGCCCTGCCTGATGTCATTGAAGAAGAACTCATTCAGATCAAGGTTGTTAACCCGGGGGTCGATCCAAACCCGGTCGGGTAGTGGGTTAAGGGTTAATGGATCACCCGATTTAGTTCGGAAATATGAAAAGAGTAATTATATTATACTTATCTTGAATCCAATATAGAAAAAATACAACACTACTTAAACTCCAACACACTTAAATAATATCAACTTAAATTCAACATAGTAAAAATTCAACGACACTTCGGAACAAGAGCCCGCTAACCAGCTCGGATGGGTCAACCGTCCGGACTTTTCCGAGTTTGACTGGATTTTTCCGGGTTTGACCATTTCCGAGCTAACTCACAAATGGACAATTCTAGCCTGTTTTCAGAAGCGGGTCCGGGCCAACCCGGGTCAACCCGCGGGTCGACCCGCAAGTTGACAACCTTGATTCAGACAAAGAGAAGTTGTCATCCTTGTCACTCATTGCTAACATTTGGCCTATATTTGTCTTCAGTTAGTACTTTATCTTTCGATATTCATTAATGTGTGCTGGAAGAGAGGCTTGTTAATGATATGGATAATGGAAGATCAGGGCCGGCCAAGAGGGTGTGCCGGCCTGCCCTCCGGCACAGGGCCTCCAAATATTAGGGGCCTCCACTTAGATTCATTAGTTACCGATTGAATATTGTAGGTTGGTTTTTTAGTGTATGATTGATAGATTATGAACATGATGATGAATTTAATAGATAATTTTAGCTATAATAACAATTGAAAAGGATCTCATGAAGAATATGAAAATCAGAGAGATAATATATAATTTTAATTTAAACAATAAAGAAAGATATTACATTTTGAATAATGGTATTATAATCATTATAGTTTTATTATAATTAAAAGTCAATTTGGATCATGCCTCAATTTTAGAATAGGGCCTACACGATCCATTAGATAGACCCGCACCCACCTCTCAATCAATTTATATTATTTTCATTTCTCCATTCAATTTTTGCTCTATATCCATTTTCTGTTCCCTCCAGATTTACTTTTCTCCCTCCCTGCTAAGAGTGAGAATTTGGTCTTGGTTTCTTGGTCAAACAGGAAGTGAGATTGTTTATTCATTTTGAAATCATTTTCTGAACTTATGTACTTTATAATTATTTAATAAATTTATTGAAAAAAATATTATTGAAAAAAAATTAGGAGCCACATGTTAAATTTTCGAACAGGGCCTCCAAATATTATGGGACGACTCTGTGGAAGATGAGTGTCGGCTTCAAGATTCGAATGTTGAATATGGTGTTTTTTATTATTATTTTTGCACGATCGTTAGGCCGACTTCTTATGAGTTTATAGACATGAGAGAGAAATTCATTAATGTAAGAAAAAACTAGAAAAAAATGAGTTGTCTGACTGACCCTTATGATATTTTCTTAGACTAGTTATAGAGGCTCACGTTTCGGTGTTCTTCATATACAAACCAAAAGAGATTTGTTTTTTCGTGACAACACAAAAATGAATAGGTGGATGCTCCAAAACTCATTGTCAAGGAAAGTTGAAAGGGATAGTATAACTCTTCCTTTTCGAGATAAGGGAAGTGGTAACAAAAAGGATCACATTTCACAGGAGCTTTTTTTTTATCAATAAATCCCTTGTATTACCAAGGCAAAAAGCTAGTATCGTTTACAACTCAAAGGAAAACTAATGTTCAAAATCAAAAGTTCCTACAGTCGTAGGCAACAAAAAAAGGGTCTTCCTACCTGCCCACATCATGAGCCATCCGGTTGTTACTCCTGCCAACAAAAGAAATCCCAAAGCTCCCTAACTGTTGTCGAAAACTCCCAATCTCCATCAAAATCCTTCCACCCCGCACATCACGGACATCCATTCTATGAATTTTCTCGATAACCACCTTCACATCCCCACAAAACATCACCTCAGCTAGACCCTTCAAAGAGCACCACTGAATTCCATCCCGTAAAGCTACCAATTCAACCAAAAAAGGATCCACAAGCCTTGCATAATAAAATCATTTAATATAATGAATACCCCCATCGCATCCCAGACCACCCCCCTCCTGCACTATGAGACCCATGTGAAACCGCCCCATCAACATAGCAAGAAAGGTTACTTATGCCCCTGCTGACTCCGAGTCGCACCATCATGCCTCCGCCATTGCAAACCCTACCCCGTCCCCGGTTGCAAAAATGCCAACCATTCGCGGACCTGCTCTTCATACTGACGCACCAGACGCCTAATGTCGTACTGGACATGCTCAAATACCAGCCGATTCCGGCTCTTCCATGTCCTACACAACAACATTATGAAACGCACAATCTGCTCTACCCCTGCATCATGTTCTACAAATCGTCGAAAAAACATAGCAAAATTTAGCGGAGCAGTCATCATTGGACCACCATCCAGTCTCGACCCATTCCATAAGGAAACCGCAACCCGACACGATAGGAACAAATGCTCAATCGTCTCCAACGTAACGGTGCCCAACAAACTAGGCATTTAGGAGAGATCGGGAGGTCATCCCCAACAATTCCCCCAAATCAATAGGAATAGTACCGCCCTTCTCCAAAATCGCTTCAGAAGTGGGCAAAACTCGCTTCATAATTTGCCACACAAAGAACTTTAGTTTGGCAGGAATGAGAAAATTCCATATTTTCTTCCAAAACTCCATATAACAAAGGAGACCTCATCTTTCTAGCCTGGCAGCCTTCTACTTAACTGGAAAGCCAGATGATAGCCAGATCTCACTGGCAACTTGGGCAACGGGATCGGTTGAATGGCCTAGACTACCTCCAGTGAAAAGCATTGGTCTAAGCACTCCAGACACAAACGTCCCATTCCCAGGACTGTTAAGGACTCCACCGTTACATTCGAAAGCACTGGAGCCGAAGGCCGAAGAACAAGGTCTTTTGGGCGGACTCCCGGGATCCAGTTATCCCTCAAAACACTCACCTGAGTCCCCTCCCCAATCTGCCAAATAAGTCCCTTGCAAATAGTGGCGTAGCCAGGATTCAGTTTAAGGTGGCGCCCACCTCGAAAAAATAAATATGATAAAATAGTTTTTTGAATATAATCTTACGTTGAATTTTTTGATAAATTAAAATGCATTAGCAATCGAAAATATCAAGAATATCACTCTGCATATATACCAAACAATCATTGATTTAGTTAGTCGTAGTGTTTCAAATGGTGTTCTTTGTTAAGAACCGTTAGTGTCAATACCTCGAGTTGTTGATAGAGGTTTAATAATAAATCTTATGCCAACCAATAATTCATGATTTATCTGATCGTTCGCTTTCGAATGATCTTAAAAAAATATTTAGTATCAATAAATCGAGTTGTTGGAAGATTTCAATAATATATTATACCATTTTCTACCATGCTCCTTATAAGAAAGTCAACTTATACGAAATTGATGTTTGCACAAATGTGTATACCGTATGCTTAAGAAATGAGGTCGCCAAGATTCAAACACAAAACTTTTCGACCAACTATTCTCAACTAAACGCGACCTAGTTTTCGTTATCAATTAACTATTGTACCTAATTTAACCATTTTGCCCCGAATCAGGGTGGGTCTCGGGACCCACCCTGTTACCCTCTCCCTCTGCCACTGCTTGCAAAGAAGATCCCTCCGATGCAGCACACTTGTCCACCCCCTTGATGGCCGAGGTCCATGGACAATAGTGAAAATAGTAGTTCGAGCAAAGTACTTACCCTTAAGAAGACGAGCCACAAGCGTCTCAGGCTCCTTCCAAATTCTCCAAGAAACTTTAGCCAACAGAGCCTGGGTAAAATTTCCAAAACGCCTGAACCCAATACCACCCTCGAACTTACTCCGACATAAGTTCTGCCAGGAGACCCAGTGAGCCTTGACTTTCTCCACCGAATAGCCCCACCAAAACGGGTCATGTGCTTATCCAACTTACGACATAGCGTCACTGGTAAGAGGAAACAAGACATAACGTAGATAGGAAGAGCCACAACGACCGCTTTAAGAAGCACCTCCTTCCCCTGCAGTTTGGCCAACAATCGCTCCTCCAAGTATCTAAACGTCTCAACCTTAAAGTGTTTAACCAAGCAAGGAATCCCCATGTATCTATCCTGGAGACTAATTTCCCCCACCCCTAGGATGAATGCCATTTCCTCCGCGTTCGGTGGGTCAACATTACCACTGAAACACACAACATACTTGCTCAAATTCATTTTCTGATCACTCAAGTCCTGATAATCTTGCAGCAGCTTAAGCAACGTTTCACATTCCAACTTAGAAGCCTGTAAGAACAAGTAGGAATCATCAGCAAAGAACAAATGCGAGATAATAGGACCTTGAGGGCTAATCTTTACCCCAGCAAAAAGTAGCGGAGACAAGGGGTCCCCCTGCCGGAGCCATCGCGTAGACCGGAAATACCCTATAGGCGTTCCATTCATCATCACAGAGAATGTCACCGTCAAGACGCATTCCTGTACCCATCCAACCCATTGGTGACTAAAACCCATCTTAGCCATAATTGCAAGCAAGAAATACCATTCGACTCTATCATAGACATTTCCCATGTCAACCTTCAGAGTCAAGTAACCTTTCTTCCCTTGCTTTTTGACCTTGAGGTAATGCATAACTTCATGACCAATCAACACATTGTCAACGATCTGGAGACCACGCATAAACCCATTCTGCTCTGGTGAGATAATGGAAGGCAAAATGATAGCCATCCGTTCCACCATGATTTTATATATGATTTTCTAAAAGAGCTGACAAACTGTTTCATAGACTCGACCGCATATATGATCTAGTCTGGTTGGTTCTACAAGAGGCAATGAGACAAGTAACCAACCCAAATGTTTAGATTTTTTTTCTTGTTTCAGTTTATGGTTATTACATCGAAATTTACTGTCTACACCAATATAAACAAATATTTTATTTTGGACTGAATATTTAGCTTCTTTAGATAATTCATTATTTTGGTTTGAATATATTTTTCATTCATCTTGTTATTCTTATAATTATTAGTTATTTTTAAAAGGTGATATAAGTTTGTTTTATACGTAAGTGCTACTTCAGAGATTTAAATCTATAATCTGCATGTTCAAAATCAGTGGTAATATCATTGGACCAAAATCTTGTTAGTGAGTATTAGTTGTATTTTGAACAAATCATAATGGAGACTCCCATATTAGTTGATGAATAAATATTCGGAAGCCCTAACATCGAGTTTTCTATAGAAAAGCCTCACGATAGTTAATACAATCTATTATATATATATGGTGGCGTCTTCGGTGTACTCACTTTTTTGGGTGCATTCAGTGCACTCACTTCATAACCATCATTTTAAACATGCTATTTATGTCAAAATTATGTCCATCATCACTTATGATGTGATGAACAATAACGCACATGAATTTGCACAAAAACTATTGAAGATTTACTTTAATTTGAAGGATTTAGAGTTAGAGATTTAAGGTTAGGGTTAGGGTTTACAATTTAGGGTTTAGGGATATAACTCAAAATTGGAGGTCTAGTGCTTAGGGTAATCCACTAATTAGTTGTTATCATATGTTATATCATCATATTACACTAATTCTACAAATTAAAATTCAAAATCCGACACCTTAAGACTAGTTTTTGAGTTGGGTGCATTGAACGCACTCATTTTTGTGAGTGCACCGAAGTAGTCACCATATATATATATATATATATTGATTAGATCTAAAATAAGCTCTGATACCAGTAAGGACGAAATGAGACAGCCAATAAGAGATTAACTTGAAAATAGTTTGTAAAGTAAATGATACTGGAAAGGACCAGATTAGCAAAATGTAAATACTGGAGATGACCAGATTAGCAGAAGATAAATACTGGAGATGACCAGTTTTGCATAAAATAAAAGCAAAAAGTAAATACTGGAGATGACCAGATTAGCAGAAGATAAATACTGGAGATGACCAGTTTTGCATATAAAATAAATACTGGAGATGACCAGTTATGCACAAAATAAATAAAAGTTGAAGATGCTTTGAAAAAGATGAAGTAAAACTTGATAATTTGATAGACTTCTTACACAGGAATTCTTGAGAGAAGATGATGGGAGGAAGTTTTGCAAGAGAGCAATTCCCACTCAAAAAAACTCTACTTACAACAAGTGTAGAGAGTCTCCTTTTATAGAGAAATGGAGTCCCCTTTTGGTAAATAAATTGAAAAACATAATGATGACAATGTGGACACTTATATGATTATGTCACATGTCATAACAAAATTACATTTTTAATAAAAAGAAAATAAGGAATTTGTGGTCTTCTTTCCATAACCAAATTGAGTGGATTGGAAGTGGAGTCACTTCTTCTTTGTCTTTAGGATAGTGGGTTGGAAGTGGAGTCACTTCTTCTTTGTCTTTGTGGTAGTGGAAGAAGCAATGGGGTCACTTCTTCTTTGTTTTCAACTTAGTGCTCTTTGTTGGCAAAGGACCAAGCACTTCTTCATCCGGGTCATGGTTTTGGAACGTGGAATCTGCGTCAGATGTTGAGCTAGACGCCACATCTTTGAGAATTTGGAAGTATTCTTCTTCAGTCTTGGCGCCAGCTAAGAGAGCGCTGATTGAGGATTTTGTTTGCAAAAATTGCGTTGAGGATTTTTCGATAACTTTGGACAATTCAGGATTGTTATTGAACCATTGGAGGACTTGAGGTTTGTAGGCCTGTTCTGGGCGAGGATTTGCAGCCCAATATTTTGTTTTAAAGCTGCGGCCTAACATGGGTACCTTTGTGACAGCACATGTTTGGTAACTGAATTCCCAAGCAGTAATCCAAGGAACTTTGATGTAGTAACAAAATTTGACGAGGGGGAATCCTAGACCAGAATATTTTTGACAGAAGGTTTGATATCCCTCTTGTATCTCAGTTGGATAGATATTTTTAGTTGGCCCAAAAAGATCCCACCAATGCATAAACCAGTTGGGGAAAATAATGGGAGTTTTGTAATCCCAGAAAAAACTCCAGGAGTGTCGGTACATATGGTTTTGCTTGAAGAAGGCATTAATCCAAGCTTCATGGTAATCCCAGTAATTGAAGGATTGGCAGATTTGCGGGTGGTTAAGAGCAATAGTAGCAGGGAATTTTTGGTTGGTGTTTGGGCTAGTAGGCCATTGGCGAGGGTGGATAATTTGGTGGATTTTGCAGGTTGAGTGGGTATTGAGTGTTTTGTCTGAAGGATCAAATTTGTGGGAAAAGGTGACTGATCCGGTTTCTGTGAGGATAAGTTCATAATATTTGTGGGTTTTGTTGAGGGATCTTGGTTTGAAGAACCACTCATTGAGGAAATGTTTGGCAGTAACATTTGGATATTGATGGTAGAAACCATCTTCAACAACGAAAATGGGTTGAAAAGTGTTTTTCTTAAAATACGTTTGAAATCGATTTTGAGGGGCTTGGACAACCACCACCTCTTGGGTTTTTGGAAAAACGGTTTTGAGAGGGGCTATCGAATATGCCACCTCTGTTGCGGTAGGTGCAACATCAAGATGATGTTGCTGATAGATTTGTTTGGTTTCTTCGGAAGAGATGGGTGTGGGTAGGATGCCACTTGGCGTTTGAGTATTTGAAAGAATTAGTTTAGAAAGGGAAATTGTTGAGGAAGTTGAAGCTTCAGTGGGAAGCTTTTGTTTAGAACCAGAAACGGCAATAAATTTTTGAAGGTAATTTTGGGCTTCAAGAGGAAGCTTATCAATATTGATTAAAGCTTTGGATGAACTTGAGTGTGAACCAGAATCATCAGAACTTCCTTCATACTCACTTGAATGATCAGGGCTTCCTTGTTCATCATCAAATATCTCTCTCCATGTTTTGATTTTGATTTTCTTTTTATCTCGCAATCTAGTGGTAGGGGGCATTATGACTGGAGATTGCAAGCCTGAGAGTTTTCCGCACTTCGTCCTCCCTGCAAAAATTCCCGAGTAGGGAAGTCTGGAAGAGAGTTTGAAGAACCATTTATAAATTGTATGTCAAAATAAAAAATGCTAAGGATGGCTTGCCATCGTGCAAATATTTGTTTCGAAGCAAGGTTTTGAACATCTTTTTCCAAAATGTATTTTGCTGATTGGCAATCAATGCGTAGTAAAAATTTTTGATTGAGTAAATCATGCTGAAATTTTGAGATGCATAAAACAATAGCAAGCAGTTCTTTTTTGACAGTTGAATAATTGATTTGGGTAGGGTTCCAATGCTTAGAAGTAAAGCGTACCAACAACTCCTTATCATTTTGAATCTGCTTAAGGATTCCTCCATATCCTAGGTCAGAGGCATCGGTTTCGACGATTTTAGGGAGAGAAGGATCACTTATGTGAAGGCACGGTAGACTCTGAACCTGCCTCTTAATTTGCTGAACTATTTTGGTATGCTGGTCACTCCAGGGAGGGGGACTCTTTTTCAATCTATCATGGAGAGGTTTACACAGAAGATTGATGTTGGGATAAAAGTCAAGGACATAGTTTAAACTACCCAGGAACCGTTGTAATTGATTTTTGTCTAAAATTTGATCAGGAAATTTATCAGCAAATTGAAGAGATCTTTCGATTGGAACAATTGTTCCTTGACTAATGTAGTGACCCAAAAAACGTATCTTAGTTTGAAAAAGACAAAGTTTTGGTTTAGAAACAGCTAGACCGTTACGTCGAGTAACTTCAAGAAATAAATTGAGATGTTAGAAATGTTGGTCAATGGACAAAGAAAAAACCAGCACATCATCAATATAAACTATTATGAAATCAAAATAAGGAGAGTAGATTTGATTCATAATTCTTTGAAATTCTGAGGGAGCATTTTTTAAACCAAACGGCATGACGTTCCATTCATATTGGCCAAAGGGAACGGTAAAAGCATTTTTATAGCGGTCTGTTTCTTTGATTTGGATTTGCCAAAATCCGGATTTCATGTCAAATTTAGAAAATATTATGGACTGTGAAAGTTTCTGGAGTAGATCCTTTTGGTTGGGGATAGGATACCTAATCCACTTCAGAGCCTTATTCAATGGTTTGTAGTTTATAACAAGACGAGGAACGCCACGTTCCTTTTCTGCATTATTAATGACATAGAAAGCAGAACAACTCCAAGGGGATTTGCTAGATCCGATAAGGCCCTTTTTGAGCAATTCTTTAATTTCTTGTCGACAATGTTTTTCAAGGTCTGAATTCATTTGGATAGGCCTAGCCTTGGTGGGAATGAGATTTTCTGTGAAATCTTTTTCGTAAGGAAGCTCTACCTGATGTTGTTTTTTATGCCAAAAAGCATTGGGTGTATCAGCACAAATAGAGCTTTCAATGTGCTCTTTTAAAGAGTTTATTCGTTTTTGCAAAAGAGGTTGAGAAAGCTGTTGTAAGATTCGCTGAAAATGTATCTCATCATGCAAATAAGATATTTGATTAGTTTTACAACGAATTATATGGTGTATATATTTTATAGAAGAACGTCGTAAAACATTTAGGTTTCGAACTTTTGGTTTTTGGAGAAATGAGAATTCAACATTGTTTCCTAACACAACGGTGTTAATTCCTTGGTCGGTGACGGTAAAAGGTTTTAGAAGATTTAGAAAAGGTGTCCCTAAGATCACCTTTTGTTGCATATCACGTACTAGGACAAAAGGAGTTTTGAATTCAACATTTTGATGACAAATTAAAGCATTAGAAAGTTTATATTGTATTTGAAGAGGTTGAGAGTTAGCGGTAGATAGACGCTCGAGGGTCTTTTCATAGTACTTAGTTGGAATTAATCCTTCTTGGATGCAGTTCATGTCTGCTCCTGTATCAAGAAGGGCCACTGTGCTTAAAGTAAAATCAGAAGAAACCTGAATATTAATGATAACATACCATTTTTGGGTAGTAATGGTAGATAAAAAACATAGAAAATCGTCATCAGTTAGCATTTCCTCTATTTCTAAACTATTGGTTGCGTGAGGAGTTTCATCGAAAAAGTTTTCGGGGCTAGATGTTGATGGCTCTTCTAAAGCTTTGAGAGCTATTAAAGTTTGTAATATTTCATGATCACTATTTTGTAACTGTCGTAATTGTTGAATTTCTTTCTTAACAATATCCAATTCCTTTTGGAAGTCAGGAAGAGAAGGATTGTGGGAATCATTATTACTATGTCGAGAAAGGATATCTTTGACACTATACGTCGAACCTTGATGAAAGGGATTGGTAGGTGGAATAGTCACAGGAGGTTTCTCCATGTGCTCATGAAGCTTTTTGAAATATTTTTCTTTGAGATGAGGATTATCAATATTGTTGATTAGATCTAAAATAAGCTCTTGATCTTTGGTTAAAACATTGATAGAAGATTCAGAACTTTCATCGATGTCATCAAATTGTAAAGCCTGAAGATTCTCATCATCATCAGAAGAAGAAGAAGAAGAAGAATCCTCATGAGAAGAGTAGTGTTGGAGAAAAAGATTATTGATTTTGTCATGAATCTCTTCATCAAGATTAAGCTCATTGAGCTTCTTTTTTATACGACAATATTTGGAAATATGACCTGTTTTTCCACAACGGAAACAAGTAATGTTTTTATTTTCATTGTTAGATCGTGGTCCCTTATCTGGGCGGGGATTCCTAGAGAAATGAGATTTTTGATTCGTGGTTTTAAAAGATCGGTAGGGACGATCACGATGTTTTTTATGAGGTTTGGTGCTACAATCCTCACAGTTAGATTTGGAAGAAATTTTTGAGTAAGATTCATCAAACTGAGCACAAAAAGATCCTAGTTCTTTTCGAGTTAGTTTTTGTTCGCGTTTGATCTGTTTTTGAAGTTTTAAATCATGGCAAATTTGTAATCCTTCCTTTTGTATAAAGCTAATAAGTTCTCCGTAAGTAAGTTGCTCATAAGGAATTTGACCATTAAAAGTGTCTTGGATTTTGTTTCGGATTTTATCTCCTAAGAGACGGGTAAACCGGCTAAAAACTTTTCTTTCCAAAATGGTTGATTTCCATCTTCTCTTTGCATAACCCTAGTTAAAAAGGTGTCTTTGTACCATCGGAAGTCATGAAACTTTTTACAACGAAGATTAGAAAGTAGTTCGGCATTTTTATCTTTAAGATGTGAAGGATCTCCAACAAAATGTTTTGAAATGGCAAAAATCAGAGATGCGACTGCATCTTGAGAAGATTGATTATTGGAGTCTAAAATAGGAGTTCCAGAAGAATCACATTTGACAGCTGTAAAAATAGTTCTCTGGTCTTCTGCGGTTAAGATATTATCCCACCAACCCTTTAATTGACCAGCAAAGCCGGCTATAAGTAGTTCAGCTATAGCGTAATCAGAAGTTTGATTTTGTGTTTTGTAAGCATTAGCTACCATGGTCATTTGTTGAAGAAGGTTCAAAATTTGATATTCTGAAAATCCATCAAGATTCCATTCATAAATAGAATTGGAGTTGTATTTATTTTGGATAATGGTGGGTTTCTCTTCGAGAGCTAAATCAGGTGCCGTGGGACGTGGGTAATACATCTTAGATGCAGAGGGTTGGTTCCATCGGAGACGATTGATTTCTGTTTCAGTATGATCTTCTAGGTCTTGAATTACTTCGGCTGAGTCATCGACGATTTGATCCTCGTTGCTCGTGGATTTTGAGTCAGAAATATAAGGAGTCTTAGAAACGGATAGTTGTGTAGAAAGTTGTTTAAGACGTTTTTCTATTTCAAGCTTAAATTCAAGACTAGATTCTTTAGAAACTTCAAAAGGTTTGAAAATGGGGGAATTAAGTTTGTTGGAAGGAGGAATAGGAGTATTAGAAGTAGACGCAAAAGACAGAGGTAAACTGATTTCAACATTAGTAAGTTGATCTCCTAAGGTCTGAAGAAATCGGTTTGTATAATTGTTTTGTTCAATCAGACGTCGAATATCTTCTCCTTTGACATGGTCACTATTTTCTCGTCTTAATTTAAAAGGAGAAGCTTGAACTGCTGTTCCATAATAAGAAAAATTAACAGGAGCATTAGGGGGGGTGAATAGATTGGATCTTAGAGTTATTAGTAGTTGACCAAGTCATAGGCTTGGTTTGAACATTTATTGAAGATTGAGAAAAGACTTGTTCGAACCAATTAAAGAAAGAATGGTGTTCTCGTATATTATTGAGATAATCATAGAAAGAGTTTTGTATAAGTACACGTTCTTCTTTAGAGTAATCAGTAAAAAATTGCTCGTGTTTAAAACGGTTTCGTTGGGAATAGAAATCATGGCGAAGAAATTCTTTGTTGATTTTGAACTCTTGTGTAATGACATCAAGAGCAGAAGGGATTTCTTCTTCAGGAAATGCAGCTTGTGAGGCAGTAGGAGACATATTTGGTGTTCTCGAGGTATTTATAATGGGAAAAAGAGTTGTGGGAGGTGGTGGAGTATAAACTGGCTGAGGTATGTTGTTGGAGTTGTTGATTCCTCGTAGATCATAGTTGAGTGTAGAGGAGGTATGTCGAGTGGGTGTTGGTATGGGAGAAAGATTTCTACAAGATTGGCTTCTAAGAAAAGTATTGATGCGCTGTCGAGCATCGTCTGTCAATTCAGGGTCTATATCAGAAATGCTAGAGATGGAATTTCTAGCAAAAGAGATGTTAACAGTACCATCAAGATGTTGAGTAATTTGATTAACCTGACGATGGTCGATGCTTCTGGGAATGGTAGCTCCTTCAAGGGTCCATTCTGTAGGAAGAGTAACTTCTCCCCATTTAATAGTTTTGGGAGTAACAGTGTTAGTACGAGTTAAATCAGTTTGCCAAAGTATAGTTTCTCCTTTTGTACCATATTGAAGAGCTTTAGAAGAGAAAGCATATTTCATTGCTTTATAGTGTAAGCGGTAAACCAAAGAGATAGGTAAAGATCCTTGTTGGATTTTATAGTTGAAAGTTTTTATTTGTAGGGTTAAAACATCTAAAATATTTTTGTCATGAAGAGAGACAGTAAAGTTTGGAAAACAATTGAAGTAAATTGGGCCATTACAAAGACTTGATTCAACAGTTCCAAGTAAAGAGTCGTTAAACTCAAGAAACCGACAATCTCGTAGAACCATTAAAATAGCAGTATTAAGGCCTTCTTTGGATAGAGGCTTAATCCCTACTTGAACTAACCCAATATGGATATAGTTGTACTTCTTTTTGTGTTGTTGAATAGAATTTTGAGACAAAAGTTTGATAGTTTCATAATCATTGAAAAGATGAATATCTCTTTCTTCGGTTTTGATGGTATAATCCATTTTATTGAGGAAGTTAAATTTGCTTTGCTCATAAATTTCCTTTTGGGCAATCCTAGGAATTTGCCAATTATCAATTTCTTTACTAACAGTTTCAAAATTAATTTCTTCTTGGTTGATTACACGGTTCTCGGTGATGTCAGAAGTAGAGGGAGAACCATGAATTAAACTAAGTTTGTGAGTATATGATATCATACAATAACCTCTAATGGATAAACCCTGCATGCTTCGATTCTCTAAACCCAAATCCAAGTTCAATTCAATAGAAACATTAATTGATCGTTGAGATTGGTCGAAACTCATCAAAGCACATCTACCCGCCAGACACTTGGAGTATACTATATTCATGTAGTATACCAATCATTCGTTCAACAAGTTAGACTCAGGGTTTTAATATTGACTCTTGTATGATGTTATGGGCATTGCCCAAACCCAACCTCGCTTAATTTAAGTATCAGGTAGGCCGCTCCTTTAGCGCCTCATTTTCACCAAAAAAATAATAATAATTACTTGAAAATATGTAGGACTAGAACTTTTCATTTATACACATCTAAAACCCGACATCTATAGATTTGCTAATATTAATGGTCAACCATCCATTCATATCCTTCATATTTTTTATATAGTCCCACCAACATGGTTCATCAACTTTGACCTCTCCTATCCCTCCCTCGAGTCCTCGACCCACCCCATCCAGGCCCGGCTCATACCCTGTGCTGGTCTGACCCACGACATAGGACCTCCAAAATTTTGGGCCTCATCACAATCAGGCCCATACACATAATAAATATACATAAAATAATTGGATAATCTTCAGAGCGTCTGACCCAAAAAGAAAAATTGAACAGTCTTGGGAGGAGAAGACGATGTGGCTTGGTTCTTTCTCCTAGATTTTACTAGCTTCTGTTGTGGGCCGGACTTTCATTAAAGCACAAATAATTAGAATAAACAAAAGGATCAATTGGTAGTCAGCCCAAAATAGGAACCAAAGCCAACACACTCTAGTTTAGACTCAACTCAATGTGTATATTATTAAATAGTTACTTTCCATAATAAGTTTTTACTTCTAATGAAAAATGACTAAATTTACTAATTTAAATTAATATAATCTTACTCTCTCATCATGTTCTAGATATTGAGTTCTTAAAAAATAAGTGATTTCGCTCCGCAAATTAGTTACTAAAAATCTGCAACGTTACATATCAACGGTCCAAAATATCATGAACAAAGCAACATTACAGTATTAATTATCCTACAAAAATTTTAGGGGCACATTTTTAATTTTCGAACAGGGCCTCCAAATATCATGGCCGGCCCTGACCCCATCGCCCACTCCTTTAGCTAATACACACTACTACTCCATCTTTGAAACGTGAAGAAATTGATCACAACCCCCACTTTCCACATCTACTCTCCCTTCTCTCCTCACTTTCCGTTCACCTAGCTATCTCCCCGGCCACCGACGACGATCGATCTCCTGACGACAACAAGATCTCGAGTTTAAATCCTCCCGTCGTCAACTGCTAGCTAGCCTATGCTAGACTAGAACACAAGATGGAACCTCTGACTTTGTTCATCGGAATCATAGGGAATGTCATCTCAGTGCTCATGTTCCTCTCCCCAGCGTAAACACTCAACTGATCTCTCTTTCTCATTCTTCCCATCTTAGACCTTCATTTCGTCTAACTGGTGTGGCGTTTGGGGCAGGGGGACGTTTTGGAGAATAGTGAAGAACCGTTCCACAGAAGATTTCGAGAGCCTGCCTTACATCTGCACGCTGCTGAATGCTTCCTTGTGGACGTATTACGGCATCATCAAGCCCGGAGCTTACCTGGTCGCCACCGTCAATGGCTTCGGCATCGTCGTCGAGATCGCCTACGTGGCACTCTTCCTCTCTTACGCGCCCCGCAAAATGAAGGTGCGGATCATTATCGTTGCGTGTTTATACGAGAGTGGTATACGATCCAGAAACAAACCTACCTCTCAACAGCTCAAGAGTTGTTTGAATTGGTTTGTAGTATTGGACGAGAACAAATTTGATCAAGTAATCGTGTGTTTGAATATTCGTTTTGTTTGGTGTTGTAGGTGAAGACGGGAACCCTGGTGGGGATTCTGAACGTAGGGTTTCTAGCAGCAGCAATGGGGGTTACGTGGGTTGCGTTGGAAGGAGAAGGCAGAATCGATGCCATTGGGTTCATTAGCTCCGTCTTGAACATCGTCATGTACGGCTCACCTTTGGCTGCCATGGTAATTATTTTTTAACTCATCATCTAATTACTGATCCTACTATTTACTTAAGAATCGATGTCGTATATGTGACCTCAGTGTGATTAAGTTTCCAGTTATCATTTAATGCGAGTGGTAGGAGGAAATTAAATTAATTACTTAATTAAGTTTCGTGGGGGAGAACCAACCAATTCATTTTTCTAGTTGACATGACAAAAACACGATAGGTTAACGTATTAACAAATCACGGAAGGGTGGCTTAAGTGCTAAAACACGGACCCAATGTGTTTTCATAATAGATTTATCAAGTCTATAAGAAGTTGAACCACCTCAATTTTATGAGTATTTTTAAGATTAAGATAATTTTGAATGTATACTCAATTATCTTCGTCGTTGAACAAATTTATGCTAATTAACATGTCAAATTTTAATTAGAAATGAGGTTATGTGCTCTGATGTATACTGGCAACTTTCTTTAAAAAAAAATATATGAATGATATGTCATTATATTCTAAATATGTATCCTTTTCTTGCCTTTGATAGCTTCTTTTGCTTGCCTAACAATTAAACTATATACTAAGGGATGGATATGACAAATTACAAAGCTCAGATGTGCACGAAATTGTCCATTTACACTATACGAAACCTTATATATGTTCATGATAATTATTTTTTAATGAAATATCATTTATGTCCCACGCTCTCTTATTTTATTTCATTTTTGTCTTTTCTGCCTTCCCAATTCAAGCATTAATGAGTCCCCGTATGGCATTCTGACATTATCATGAAATCATGATCGACAAGATCTAATATATGATCTAATAAATAATTAAATAAATAAAAATTTAATTATGAATGTGAATAAAGTTATATTATACAGAAGAAAACAAAAAAAATTTATTCATTTATTTTCCCGTAACTAATAGGGGAAAAAATCTTATTGAATATAGTTTCCTGTAGTTAATTACTTATTTATATGGTACTTCAATTTTATTATATATTTTATAACTGGACAGAAAACAGTGGTGACAAGCAAGAGTGTGGAGTACATGCCCTTCTTGCTCTCCTTCTTCCTCTCCTTGAATGGTGGGATTTGGACATTCTATGCTTTCCTCACCAAAGATCTCTTCCTTGGGGTAAGTAGTCCCTTTTCTTTACCATTTACCACTCCATCGAATTGTTTTCTATAAGTGATATAGTACACATCAAGTACAAAATTTACACAAATTCGATATATAGTTCTTGTTAAAATATTAGTAGCTGATAAAGATATTAGACGATCCTTCATCGTGACATTGTCAAATATTTTTTTTGTCATGCTAAATTCGAGTACTCACTGTGACAACATTAAAGCATAAGAAATTTGTAAGGAAGTCGGAGTAAACTCACGAGTTTTCTCATTTTTCGTTACCTTTTTGGTTGTCCTTTCACTATGTGCATGAACTTCTTTTTCACTAATGTATAGCTAGTTAGGTTCACTTCATTATAGCTTCAATTATCACATTTACGATTTCACAATCGTTATCATCTATTTGGAATTTAAAAGGAGAGGCTGAAATTAAATACCTTGAATACACCTGAGTTATAATGCTCACAAACATTTGGTATCCTCGGATCGATCACGGACGCGTCTCACTCGTCAAATCAAAGCGATAATATTTTTATAAATTGTCAAATCAATTAGCCAAACTAGTCGAACCATAAGTAATCAAATACAATTGATTGATGTAACAATGTGATACAAGATACATCACTTGCGTATGAGTATGCTAATAATGATGTGGCATTTTTGTTTTCAAAATATACGAAAGTGTGTATGTTCAATTGAAAAAAAATATAATTTGTCCCTCCTACTACAATCACTCTCATTGCAACATTTTTAAAATGAAGAGAGAGTCAATTCTTAAAACTCCAGCATACAACATTCCCGATAGTCGATAGATATATAACTACACATACCACATGCACATCATCGATTACCAATTTACCAGTTTTATTTCAACATAATTTTCGACGATGTATTTTATATCATTCTCTTACACCCAATTAGCCATATCCTCTTCATTGTTGATATTAGATCGAGTATGACCTAATATATAGCTAGCTTGCAGGTCCCCAATGGAACAGGGTTCTTGCTTGGAGCAGCACAACTCATCATTTTCGCCATGTTCAGAAACGCCAAGCCATCCACCACTACTGCTCTTTGGAACACTAATAGTACTAGCTATGGAACCCTGGAAGAAGGAGGGCATATTGAGCCCTTAATTTCCATACCCGACCAAGAAATTCGTTTGATTAGAGGCTAAACTGGACGCAGATCCGGCTTAATTAGTCAGCTATTATGAATTAATGAATGGATGTGTGTGACTGTGTGTATTTTATAAGAATGAAATCAAAACCAGAAATTTGAGTGAAGGATATGCCAGATTTAGTAATTGCGGAAGAGAGAATGAATATTGCATAAAACGGTGAGTTGTCCTGTTACACTGTACAGTCTTTATAGTGTTCACCAAATTACCACTTAGTAGTCATACAAACTACTGATTACAATAGCTACCTAAAAAACAACAACAATTACATTTTGTTCTATATTCTATCACCCCCCTCAAGCTGGAGCATGTTTATCACGCATGCCCAGCTTGCCTATCAATTCTACAAACCTATGTATCGGCAGTGATTTGGTAAGAACATCAGCAAGTTGGTTGTCAGTGGAAATGTAGAACAACTTAATGAGGCGAGATGCAACTTCCTTCCGGATGAGATGGCAGTCTATCTCGATATGTTTCGTTCGTTCGTGTGCGACTGGATTTTCTGCAATTCTTATAGCAGAGGTGTTATCACAATATAAAGCAAAGGGATTACAAACTGAACATTAAGATCATTAAATAAGTAACTTAACCACTGTAATTCACAAGACAAATAATCCATTGCTCTATATTCTGCTTTTGCAGAAGAGCGACTAATCGTTGTTTGTTTCTTGGAACGCCAGCTAATTAAGGACTTACCAAGAAAAACACAGAATCCAGTGGTGGACCTATGAGTATGAGGACATCCAGCCCAGTCTGAGTATGAGAAAGCAGACAAATTGAGAGCTGAATCTGAGGGGGAAAACAAACCTTTCCCTCGATTGTTTCTAATAAATCTAACTAATCTATTAGCAGCATTCATGTGCAAATCAGTAGGATTTGCTACAAACTGAGTTAAGTGATGCACAGCATATTGAAGATCTGGTCTGGTAGTGCATAAGTACAATAGCCTACCAATTAATCGTCTATAAGGAGAGGGATCAGAAAGTAGTTCACCAGAATTTGTAGAATATCAGACATTAGGTTCAGAAGGTGATTCTGCACCTTCCCAGCAAGCAATCCAACATCTGCAATAATATCTAAAGCAAATTTTCTTTGACACAGAGTTAGTCCTTTAGAGTTTCTAGCAATTTCTAACCCTAAAAAATAGCGTAGGGGTCCCAAGTCCTTAATCTTGAAAGCATCATCAAGTTTAGCCTTAATTGACTTCATTTCTACTAAATCATCACCTGTTAATATTACATCATCTACTTAGACTAATAAGGCTAAAAACTTAGCACCAGAATGTTTAGTGAAGAGAGTGTCATCTGCCTTAGATTGAACAAAACCATTAACTAGTAAGAACTCAGTCCATTTTGAGTTCCATTGTCGACTCGCCTGTTTTAGACCATAAAGAGACTTTGTTAAGCGACAAACAGGTATTTTGATATCAGATGGAGGTGTTAAGCCTAGGGGGATTTTCATATATACTTCTTCCAGAAGATCCCCATGTAAAAGGCGTTATTAACGTCTAATTGTTCAATAGCCCATCCCTTGATAGAAGCTAAAGCTAATAAAGCACGAACAGTAGTCATTTTAGCTACAGGAGAAAATGTTTCTATATAATCTATGCCCTTAGTCTGTGTGTATCCTTTAGCTACTAATCGAGCCTTAAACCTTTCTACAGTTCCATCAGCCTCGTATTTAATACGATATACCCATTTAAAAACTATGGCCTTTTTAGAAGATGGTAGAGAAGTAACCTTCCAAGTATTAGTAGATGCTAATGCATCAAGTTTAGCTTGCATAGCTGCCACCCATCGTGGATCTTTGATGGTTTGCTCACGTTCATGACAAAACTTTTGTAACCTGCAGCTAATTTGTCATATGAAAGAACATTGGAAAGGGGATATGTTATATTAGAGGATGTAGCCACTGTTAAATGACAAACAAAGTCCTTGAGTCTAGCAGGAGGCTTTGTTTGTCTTTGTGGTCTACCAGCAGGTGCTGGAACATTTATATTGGGTATTTGCAATGGAATATGGACAAGATCAGTAACCTGCACCACTCCAGGAGAAGTAACAGATGTAGGAGCAATAGATGTTTTAGGATCTATAATGAGTTCAAAATTGGGAAGAGTTAATCCAGAATCAGGTGGATGAGAAGAATGTTTGTATGGGAAAATATGTTCATGAAAAACAACATCCCTAGACTCAATCTGTCGATGTGTGTTTAAGTCAACAAGTTTAAAACCCTTGGTACCAAATGGATAACCTAGGAAAACACAGGGAGTTTCTCTAGGTTCAAGCTTAGGACGATTATGACTAAGAGTGCTAGCATATGCTAAACAACCGAAGACTCTAAGATAACCCAGCTCTGGAGGAGTGCCCTGTAGAAGTTCTAAAGGAGGCTTATTTTGTGTTAAGGGAGAAGGAATGTGATTGATTATATGAGTAGCATGAAGAACAGCATGACCCCAGAAGTGGATAGGGAGTGAAGCTTGGAACAAAAGAGCCCTAGCAACAGTGACTATATTTTGTAATTTTCTTTCTACACGACCGTTCTGTTGAGAAGTTTGAACACACGAGGTTTGATGTAAAATACCCTTTGAGTTGTAGAAACCCGGAATATTAAATTCCTGAGCATTATTTGTTCTTATCACCTTAACTTGCATATCAAATTGAGTAGAAACATATGAACAGAAATTAATAACTAAATCCCTAGCTTCAGATTTATGTTTTAGGAGATAAACCCAAGTTACTCTAGTATGATCATCCACAATAGCAAAGAAATAACGATGACCTTCTATAGTAGGTTCCTTGTAAGGTCCCCAAACATCACAATGAATCAAATCAAAAGGAGCTTTATTGATAGAGTCACTAGAAGCAAATGGTAACCGTTTCTGTTTAGCCAGAGGACAAACAGAACAATGTATATGATCATTAACAACAATAGGTACAGTATTAGCCTGTAAACCCTTTATTCTAGGAGTAGAAGCATGTCCTAAACGGTAATGCCACAAATCAAGCACAGTATGCAATGTATCATATGTTGCACATAATAGTGAGGGATAGCAAGATCAGGCAGTGAGTTGCCAGGTTGAAGGTAGTAAAGGCCAGAGATCTGTTCAGCTATACCAATCGTCCGCATAGCTGACAGCTCCTGGATAAAACAAGCATTATGAATAAATGTCATGGAACAATTATGTTGTTTAGTTAACTTGCTTACAGAAAGCAAGTTGAATGTGAATGATGGAATCAACAACACATTAGAAATGATGAGATTATCATTTAAATGTATTGTTCCTATGTGACTTACTCTTGCCTTAGAACAATAGATAAAGTCACAAACGAGTTATGCACAACACTGGAAGACTTAAGCATAGACAAAGAGCAAGCCACATGGTAAGTAGCCCCAGTATCTACCACCCATGTTTGTTCAAGAGACCTATTTGGGGAATTATCTACTACAGATAGAACTACCTTACCTGCAACCTCATCATAAGCAGCTTGAGAGGCAGAGGAGGTGGTCTGTGCTGCAACTACATCCTCATAGAGAGCCGAAGTGGAGTGATCAGCAGGAAGAGATTTGGAAACCGCCATCAAGTTTATAGATCCCAGATTGGTGGCCTGCTGAGTTTGAATGAGAGAGAGAAACGCCTGATACTAAGCTCGAGAAAGAGTGAAACCTTCAGCAGGACTTTCAAAAACTTCGTCAGTGGACTCTCCAGCACACACAACATTAATCGCCTTGCCGCGAGCCTTGTATCCAGGTGGATATCCATTCTTCTTGAAGCACTTGTCAATCGTGTGACCAGCGAGTCCACAGAAAGTGTAGATAGGCCTCTTTGATCCATCTTTAAGACCTCTTCGACCTTGATCAGATGAAGAAGCACCTTGAGTGAAAACTCCTTGAGCAGAAGACGAAGGAGCATAATTGCCTGCAAACGCCATAGGAGGCTGAACAACTGGAACCAGAGAAGCTCCATGACGAGACTCGTGTTCTTGTTGAACGACTTGAGCAAACACACGATTGATCGGCGCCAATGGATCTAACTGGAGAATCTGTGATCTGAGCGGACCAAAAGAATCACGAAGACCTCAAAGAAAACGAATGATCTGATCAGCTTCAACGTAGCTACGAAGCCGTGTGAACGCCCCGCATCTGCACCGAGGATTGCATGTACAGCCAAGCAACGGACGAAGCGCAAAGAACTTGTCTCAGAGAACCTTGAATCGAGTGTAATACTCCGTGACAGTGAGATTTCCTTGCTTGAAGCCATAGATCTCCTCATGTAGATCTGAGATCCTGACCAAATTTGCTTGACCGAAGCGCTCTTGAAGATCAAGCTACAATTCCCTCGCAGAATCGAGCCAGAGAATCGACTGAGCAACCGTCGGCTCCAGCGATCGATAAATCCAACCTAAGACCATCAGATTGGCGCGCTCCCAAGCCGGAAGCAATAGATCATCATCGCCAAGACGCGGAGCTTCACCATTAACGAACGCGACCTTGTTCTTCGCGAGTAACGCCATCCGCATCGACCACGCCCAAAATTGACAATTGCCACCATGGAGGAGCGTTGACACAAGCACGAGCGCCGGATTCTCGTTCTGATTGAGGTAGTAAGGATGATTAGGATAGAGATTCGCCGGAGGAGGAATCGCCATCGCAAAGCAGAAAGAACGAAAGTAAAGAAATCAAGAATGAAACCCTAGTTTTGCTCTGATACCATGCCAGATTTAGTAATTGCGGAAGAGAGAATGAATATTGCATAAAACGGTGAGTTGTTCTGTTACACTGTATAGCCTTTATAGTGTTCACCAAATCACCACCTAGTACCTATAGAAACTACTGATTACAATAACTACCCAAAAAACAACAAAAATTACATTTTGTTCTATATTCTATCAGGATAGGGCAAAAGAATTTTATCTTTGAAGCAAGTGACGAGATCAGAATCCTACTCTTAAAAAAAATTACGAACACGTATCTAACTATAATTTGAAAGCTGAAGGCATAAATGTTAGGATTCACTATAAAAAGCATGCAATAAATACTACAAGATTAAGGTCAGGTCCGTTGGTTAGAAGAACTTAATTTGATAATCGAAAGTTCAAGAATTTATTTTTCTTGTGATTAATTATATAAAGATGATTTTATATTTTTCATAAGCTTGATAATATACCAAATTTTTTCATAAATATTTTTATGCAAAATACTCTCCAATTGACAACACTTGAAAATATTAGTGAATTATAAGTTCTCAATTTTTTTTTCCAAATGATCATCAATATTAGAGAAACCTCCACTAAAAATATATTAACATTTGTTGCAATTAACTTTAATTGTTGTTACTTAATACTTAGATCGTAAATCCAATAAATTTGGAAATGTGGTATGATAAAAATAGGTGGTTTATATGTTCATAAATTTTAATTATTCTATTTACATTCTATATGAGTTGATAGGTGTGGAGATTAATTATATGTTCTTCCCCTCTAAACCTCTCCTTTCCATATTGCATTGATATTATATTGACGATGGAGCACAAACCATGCGAGTGCAGGCCTTGCCTATGCAATCGTCTATATGATTTTGACGAACAGGATGTGACATCGGAGCCAAATTTTGTCTTTGACTGTCAGCTTAATTTAGAGGTTGTTATTTGTCGCCCGTACATTTACTACTTGCCGCCCATGATTTTAGTAAAAATGTCGTTTTTACCCCTAATCGTTATAACACAAGCTTCGTAACACCACCCGCAGATCAGCATCGCCATCGGCGCTAGACCATCACCGCCAGACCTTCACCGCCGGCGCTAGATCACCATCGCTGACGCCAGATCCCTTCCGACGCTGGCAAGAGGACTGCGTTCGACGACCAGACACCGTCCGAGCCGGCGAGCGGATCCCGTCCGCAGTCCGGGAGCGAACCACGTCTGATACCTGCGGGCGGACCCCGTCCGCCGCCGGGAAGCAGACCCCGTCCGACGCCGGCGGGCGGATCATTGGTCACTGTCCGGCGACGGCTGTGGTCTGAGAAACGATAATGATAAATAGGGAATAAATCTATAATCTGTGTAGGGAAGAAGAAACAATAGTGGGGTTGTTTTTTTACTTTTTTTTTTACGTAGTTATTTTGAAGGTTGAAATGCCATTAACAATAAATGATAAAAGTTAATGATATAGAAGTTAATGTGGAATGCAATTATATACGTGCCCACTCTCAATGCCATAATTTACTTTTCTAATTAAATTAAAAAATAATTACCTTAAGTGATTCTAACTAGAATAGGTTATATAATTAAGTGATATAAGGTTATATAATTAAGTGATTCTAACTAGAATAGGTAATAATTTATTTTTACAAGGAATATGTAATTAATTTATTAAATTCCAGTTCCCCTAATTGTGTTGGTAGCAATCAAAAGAGGAATGATTATATAAAACAATTATTATAAAAAAAATCAAAAGAGGACAATAATTAACAGCCCTAAGTTCAAAAGCTAAGGGCATAAAATTAAGGAGTGAAATAAGGAATGAAATTATATTATATATTAAAATGACCATGTAATCATATTGATAATTTACCTACAAGTGTGGATATGTCAGGAAATCAAACTAAAATGGTCGGGTTTTGAATTTGTCAAATTTCGCATTTACTAGAGTCATCGACTTAAAAATTATTGAAAACCTCGTTGATCCTCTAAAATGTGGATACGAACATGGTGGAACTGATCATTTCTCGATTGGCCGTCCCAGACAAAAAATGATGAATAGTGCCAAAATTTTCATCGAGATTTTTGGGGGCTCTGTGGATTGTAACAAGGTATTTCTTGATTCTATCATGCGTATTTCGATGATGCAAACAAATGTTGTTAGTGGAGGTAGAGACGATTTTACCTCTAACACCATGTCGTAATAGGACTTGATGGATTGAGGTTGAAGTTAGGTATTTAGTGGGAATTAGGGTTTAGGGTATGAAGGGGGTAGAATGTGCAGAAGGGGAATATATGCTTTCCTCTTTTGTTCTTGTCGTCGTTGTTCCGATTAGTAGAGTATATTCTTCTTTTTGTTATTATCATCATAGTTTTAACTTGATCAAACCATATTTTAGTAAAATACAACCCTAATTAGTCAAAGTCAAACGTTAATCTCGTTAAACCTCCTCTTGTTGCTAGTTGTGATGGGTCTGGGAAGATGACGAAGCTCCTTCGATTTAAATTATTTGACACAAACTAAATTTTAAATACTATTAGACGTTGTTAACAAATTCTAACACCTATTAAGCTACTTAATAAACAATTTTGCATAATACTACTATAAAAATTAACATTTATTATTTATGACAAATTTCAACGCAGATTAAACAGCTTAAATTACTGTAATCATACAAATTTCCACCTAAACATCTATATGGAATTAAACTTTGTTTTCTTTATTAATTAATTACTTTCCTTTAGCTCATCCTACTAATTAACGAAATGGAATAAAACGTTGCTTTCATTCTTCTTTTTTTTAAATGAATTCATTAGAATTTTAATGTGTTTTAATTAAGGGAAATTGTCGATTATTAATTTTTTATTTTGGTAAAAAAACAGATAGTTAATTAGGGAAATATAATTAGACGTTGTTTAATTAGAGAAAATTTTGGTATTTTATAATTAAGTCTTTCCGTTTTTAATTATGTAAATACAATTACTGTTGGTAATGGGGTAGGAAACTAGGAATCAATAAAAGTAAATTAAATCACACGCTTACTCCACATTTAATTTGATTTAGTAATCCGTTAATTCCATCATTATATAAATTTATTTTATTAGTTACATTGTTTCGGCCCAAAAAATGGAAAACAATTACCATGTTTAGAACTTCCAAAATCAATCCCTACAAAAAAAAACTTCCAAAATCAATGCCGACATAAATAGCAATTATAACAAATCATCATTTAATATAAAATTTAATTAATTTGTAAATAATTAAAAATGGGTTTTCTTAAGAAAAAAAAATCGTCGACGGCAACCGTCCGATCGTCGGCGTCGGACCCTCGTCGCCGTCGGATCCCGTCCGAACTCCGGTGGCTTACCGAGCTTCTACGACCGTGAGGTGAGGGAGGGGAGGGGAACAACGGCTGTGGTTTTGGGAGGGAGGGAGTGAGAAGGTGGCCGGCGGAGGAGGTGGTCTCTGGTGGCTGGGGTGGCTGGCGGCGGAGTTTATTTGTGGTGGCCGGCGGCCATGTTTGGGAGGGAGCATAGAGTTGGGTTGGGGATAGATTAGGTTTAGAGTTTTAAATTAGAGAAGGGCAAATTCGTCATATTTTTTCTAATTATGAGCCGCAAATAGTAAAAGTACGGGCGACAAATAGCCATTCATTTAATCTATAGGTAGAAAGCTTTATGATGGAAAACTACCACGATATATTTGGAGAGATATGAGACTAGTTACGAAACAATATTCACACGATATATTTGCACCAAGTCAAGTGAACAATGCCCATTTGGCCGTAAATTAAATTTTGTTTACCAGTTAGTCTAGTTAATGGAATCTATGATCAAATTAGGCCAGTTAAACCAAACGTGTTAAGAATATTTATAGAATCAAACTAATTAGTAAAATTAATTGAATCACAATTGATCAAACACAGGTGGTTGAACTAGTCCTTTTATCTACTCCTTCTCCCTCTAACTTTTATATTTCCTCTATTTTTATACACCTAAATGTATTTTCTTTACAATAAAAGCATATACATAAAAAAAAATGTTTTGAACTTTATTATATTATATATCGTGTTGATAAAACCTCTATATCATTTGTTTTCCGACGAGGAAAATTTGGTGTTTGAACTCAATAAATGCACCTTGAGTTCTCGAACAACGAAAATCACACGGTTCACTGAACAACGAAAATCACACGGTTCACTCCTCTTCGAACAATGTTCGAACGAGGGTGTTTGATGTTTTTTTATCGTTTTTTGGGAACAAAGCTAAGTTAATTACACCTACTCCTATGGAGGTTCAGTGAGAGCGCCGAAAACTAAAGCTATGGCTACTTTGCAGAGAAAATGGTAAAGTTTGACATTGTGCGTCAAGTGGTTGGTTGTGGAACCCCTGCTTCTTCTTCGTTTTTCCTATTTATAGCCACTAGGTGTAACTGCCTTGGTAACCGCTAGCTGGCCTCTTGCTCCAAACCGCCTCGGGGTCTCTTGTCGCCGCCTTGGTGACTAGTTGGTAATCGTCGCCTTGGGGGCCCTTGTCATGACTAGATAGGGTTGAACCTCTTTGCCTTAGCCTCCATGATGAAGTCTTGATCACATCCTCAATAGACCTGTCGACTCCACTCTCTCATCTTGGTATCCCCTCGAACTGTCTTAATAGCTAGGCTTTGTTACCCAAGCTTGTCTTATTAGCTTGATATCCCCTGCTACCAAGCCGACCCTGTCGGCCTAGTAACCATTCTTAGTTTTAGAATCTCATATTGGTATCTTGCACCCGGCCAGCTTGATACCCCGTTAGGGGCCATCATGCCCATCTTAGGACTTAGTCTCCATATCCTGACTGATCCATCCAGGACTATGTGATACCTCAGCTACCGCCTTGCCTTAGTCATATTTTTTGTATTGTTGGCTTGATACCCGATGTCTGGCTATCAAGTCCGTTTTGTCGGTTTGATACCCTCTTAGCTCCATATTGCCTTGTTTCCAGACTTAGTTTTTGGATGGCCTCCTATTTGGTATCCAGCTTGGTACCCGGTCGTTTGGCACCCCGTTGTGTCACCTTGTTTTCAGACTTAGTTTTTGGATGGCCATCTATTTGGTATCCGGTTTGGTACCCGGTCGTTTGGCACTCCGTTGTGTTGCCTTGTTTTCAAACTTAGTTTTTGGGAGCCAAGTTTCATAACAAGGGGTGAAGGCATCGTCCGGTTATGGGGGTCATGGATGTACGTGGGCACCGGGCTGTGCCGTCCACGGGCTAGCACGACACGGTTAGAGCACGTGCACGAAATAAATGGGCCAGCCCGGCACGAGCACGAATAATTTATGGGCAGTGCCGGGCCTAAACTTCATGAGCACGAGCACGACACGGTATATAAGTGGGTCGTGTCGGGCCCTATATTTTTGAGACTTTATTGAGTATAAGAACGGACATGCCACGAAAATAATATTTATTTGATAGAAAATAAATATAAAAAGAATTATAGGTTCAAATATTACAAAACGCAAGTAGAAAAATAATTATTTTTTGTTGTTAGAAGTGTCATAAAGATATATACGTAATTACTAACATAAGTAAAAATGGACATAGAATTAAACAAAGTCAAATCATACTCGCTATACTTCCAATTTTCTTTTCCCTCTTACTTGCTACTTTTCTCAAACATTATCGGTTAATACTATCTTCCTCTGTCCAATTTTCACCTTTTTTTCATTCTCTTTTTTGTTTTCGTCCTTTTCATTAAACACGAATACGAGCATGGCACAAGCACGAATAGGCACGACACGATTCGAACCGTGCCAAGGCATGGGTCGGGCCTAGTAAAGTTAACAAATGGGCTTGCATGGCACGACACGAAAACTGACGGGCCGTGCCAAGCACGACACGAAATAAATGGGCAAGAAGCGTGTCCGTGCCGTGCCGGCCCAAGCACGGCCCATCACGCATGTACAGTCATGGAGACGGGTCGGCCATCGTATAGGGAAGAAAGGGTTTGACCACTTAGGCCCAAAAACCCAATCCAACAAGGCCTAGCTAGCTCTTTTAATTATTAATGTTGAGCTTGCCTTATAAATCCATTAAATCTCTTGTAGTTAATCGATGTGGTACAAACTTATTTTTTATGGGTAAACAAATGCCCCAACTATTTAGTGCATAAGAATTATTGACTATTAATTGCATGGCCATGCGTGGCTTGTTGGTGGGAAGTATAAAAAAAAATCACTTTAATCTACCCCTCCACTTGTCTTGTGTGGCCACATAAAACACTCAACCTTTAACACCTCTTTTGGCTACCCAAAGCCATTAAAACATGTCATCCCTCCATTA